ACCCATATTGTATTGGATGGACAAAAAATGTCTCAGTTATACATCTTACAGGGTCGTACATAATCTAGAAGAGTCAATTAGCGTAAATTCAGTACCGTGGTGGACTTCATTTTGGTACAATACCTTTAGGAGCTCGTGAATGGTCAGATTCGAATAATACTGCTCAATTAAGTTCAGAAAATATGGATAATGCCGCTTTGCCACCATCACCTGCGGTCTCATTGTATTCAATTGTTACGTACAGACCTAGTGGTAAAAGATATGAGCATGCTTTCAACGTAGTAGAAAGTGCATAATCTAGCAAGGGGTTTTCTTTAAAAGAATTTGAGTTTGATTCTGTTTTAGGGTGTGTTATAGCTTAACTTGGTGAATTTTAAAATCATTATATTTTTTGGGAATCTAAGATAATTTTGCAGCATAGTGCTTGAATTCATTGGAAGATGTGAAATATTTTGTGTTGGTTGGAGAAAATCAGTTCTGGTTATTGTTGAATAGTCTGTCCATTCATTGTAAAAGGATTTTCTTCTCGAGGTGAAGAATTTTTTGGAGATTTGTTCGTTGCAATAGAATTCTCGTCAAGGTGGAGATTGTTAGAATTTGAGCGTGACCCGAATTCCTTATTGAAATAATTAAAAAATTCTAATTGAAGTGTACGTCAAGAAGAATTCAGTTTGGAATGTTATTGGAATCCTACGTCAAGTTGAAGTTCTATTTTGGAAGCCCATTGAGAGTTGTAATTTGTTTTGGACTCGATTTTTTGGTATCCTATTTCATCAACAACTTTACTAGGAGGGTTTGGACATCCCCTACATATTCCCTATAAATTTTAAGCCCTTCTATACAATTTAATAGATGTGAGAAAATAGATTACTATAACTTTAAGATCAATTGTAATTTTCTCTCTTCTCCATTATTTTTGAGTCAATAAAATCTCCTAATTAATCTGTCATATTTTCTTGTCTTCTTTTATTCTTTTACTTGCGATCAAATACATTATTGTTGTGCCATATTCCTCTAACATCTCAATCCGGTGGTTGATTTCACAACAACACCTAAGTCAAAGTTAACAATTCATTTCAACCATATATTTTATAGGTTCCACAACTTTTCAACTACACATTTATCATATTTTATCAAAATTTATTAAAATTTGATTTTAACCCCCCACCAAATAAGGGCTAAGTATCACCCATAATTTTTAGCACCCGGTCCATGAAAAGTTTTTGGCGCAAGATAAGACAAGTCCATTGATACTAGATTCGATTTTATACTAATGTATTAGTATTCCAACGAACGGAACAATTTTGATTTCATTGAAGTTACATATTAGAGTAAACCAATAAATTTGGATGTGATGTTTAAACATAATCAATTTTTTTCGTAACATACGAATTTATGACATGTGGAGACTCATTTCTCAAGATGGATGGAGTTGTACGACGATTAAGAGAATCCATGTCCATTTAAGAGTTATTTCTCAAGTACAGGAATAGCTCACAGAATTTTGACAGAATTTTGAATTTTCTACATCCTTTCCGTCCTTGTGTACTTTCCCTCTTCCCATCTTTAAATTTATTCCCTCCATTTCAAAATTCTGTATAAAATGTGTATAATTATTCTGTACTTGTAGCAAGATTCATAAAATTTACTATTTCATTGTGTAATGTGTACTAAACAAATTGCATCTATATTTCATTGGATAATGAAACTGTAGAGTCACATATTCTGTACTTGTAGCAAGATTCGTCCATTTAAACACTATTCAATTTCAAAAACTCATTAGGGTTTAGAAAAAGGTTTACTTTGAGAAAAGGGAAAAACTAGAATATAAAAAAGAACGTGATATGAATTCTGGTGGAATTGTGGGATTTGAGGTGATTTTTATTTTATCATCTCTACTTATAAATATCACTATTGAGATAAATCGCAAGGGACAGATTTGGAAGAAAATTGAATGAGGTAGAAGTAGGGGAAATTTAAGGTTTCATTTTATGGGAAGAGTATCTTGAGCGAGATATTTGTGCACAATATTTGGGATTTTTGAACTACAATAGCGGAATTAAATGGAGTAAGAAATGATTACTAAGAGTTTTAATTTTACGGGTAAAGTGATTTGTGACATACATATGACCGTTTGTTATTTGATGCATGAGACAAAAAAAAAAAAAACTACATTAACGCATCAAGTAAAAAAGAATAATGATGTTCATAGTGAAAACTACCGATAATCAGCCTACGTGGTATACATGTGACAATTTGTTATTTGATGCATAAGGCAGTAAAAAACTATCATATTAATGTATCAAATAACAAATGCCACATGCATATCACATGAGACGACTACCCGTAGTCTTCATTATGAATAATATTACTTAATAAAAAAATTGTCATGTATATGCCACGTGGGGCGACTACCGAGTACCGACAGTTTTCACTATGAATATCATTACTCAATATCGATTATACTTTTATGTTATAGTAGTTATAGAAATAAAAGATGTGTGGTGGTAAAATTTGAATATTTTATTTCAAAGCTGATGTGGTGTAATTCTCTCATTTCCTTATTGATGAATGCTATAGGGCAATTTGATTTCGCGCTTAAATTTATGTGATATTTGAACATGATAGTAAAATTCTCGTAAAACTAGTCCATACTCAATAACACGAAAATTTTATGCATTATTATATGAAATAATGAGACATAACGTATCCCAATTAATGTATATGGCACATGCGTGACACGTGCCTAGAAAGTTATATACCCAACGATGTTGCATATTTTAAAAACTTGACATGCGGAAGGATGTCAATTTTGAACTTTTAATCGAAAATTTAGGTGGATAAAGAATATTTTGACAATCAGATCAAAATTTTTCACTTCTTCAAGGAGAGTATATCTTTTAGTCTCGTGTCTATTTTCGATGCGTTCTTCATAAAACATCGTTGTCCTTAAGACTTTTAAACATTACGAATTACTGAGTGAAAGCCTTACAACATTTTGACACCAATAAATCTTATGTACTCTCTACCAGATCTACCTTAAAGCTACAGAGACCTTTTGATATGGAAAAATTAGTAGAACTAGAATTATCTTTTTGTAACATTAATTTTGAAATTATATCGTCTGATTAATTTAATTTAAATGTGTCTATGACAAAAACTAACACTTACCTAGTGCAGTTATGTGTTCATACATTCCTAAGTCATTCGATCTACCTTGAATTTGTTTTTAGATAATTGTCATGGATTCGACTATTTCAAATATACACACGAGCATTGACGCGTTTGTATTTGTATTCGTGTCCTTCTCGAATTCTTTCACTTATTAAAATCTTATAGTTTGACGTCACTATTTGCAGGAGAAGCACAACAACATCAAATTTTGTTTACTTACCTAAGTCTTTGAATATCAAGCCAACTAATCTAATATTAGAGATGTATAGAGCGAGTAAGAAAGACACCTACTCTACCAGTGTGTCATCGTAATGGCACTTGCATAATTCTATCAAATTCCACCAATTCGCAAGCCCCAAAAGGTTCCACCTAACTATGTTAATGAGCCAAGCCAAGCCGAAAAAAAAAAGGCTCGGACTCGGCTCGGCTCGAGTTTTTTTGAGTAGAGCTGTTTTGGGCCCGACACGAGCCGAGCAAAGCCTGACAAAAAAAAATGAGGTTCGGCCCGAGCCGGCTCAGGTTTTTTGAATTTTTTTTAAGGCTGCAAAAGGCAGCCTTTGCAGGCACATGCAGCTCTTTTAAAAAAAATAATTTAAACTTTTTTAAATAATGGGTAGGCTCGCCCGGGCCACGGCCTCGATCTACACCCCAAAATGGGGCTCGGCCTGAGCCTTGGCTCGGTGTAACCGAGCCGTCAGAGCCGACGAACTTTTTTGCCATCCGTAGTTCCGCCCATGTTTGATTTTCATTATTTCAACTCATTTTTTGTCAAATTCATTTCAACCACATATTCCCATGGTAAAATATTTTGAGCATAAATTCAAAATTTCTTACTAACTACACGTTTTTCAAAAATTCATTATTATAAAGCCTATTTTCATGAACAGTAGTGCTTCATATACATAAGTCATTGTGATAGAAAATTTATAGAAAACACACATGTGGGTCCCGCACATTATTTTTTATTTTTCTAATACATGGTGGGGCCACTCATTATTAGTATTATGGTGAATTTATGTAAAAAACATTTATGTACAAATGGATTTTTCGTTTCATGAAATAATGACAGCTTATTAAATTTCACCTTTTATCCATCGAACACTTTACAAACTGAGCCATCTAATTGGACCGTCCACTTTTTCAATCCTCAAATTTCAGCCGTTCGATATCATCTGAAGTTCGATTTTTATTTTATTTTCTGTTAGGATTCCAACAACCCACGTCCAATCCTTGCCGTAGAGTCTATAATCCAACGGATGAAATCACGCCACGCCATAAAACCATTTTTACCGTATTTTCTCATTTTTCTCTCCCTAAAATTCTAATAAAACCCTTTGCTCCTCCGCGTCTCTTAAGAAAAACAAACCCTACCACTCTCTAGCTCTATCTTTCTCTCTCTAAAAAGGATCAAATTTTGAAAAAAAGAAAAAAAAAAATTATTTGCAAAATCTTTAATCAAATTAGGGTTTGAAAAAGGAAAACTATTCTCCTACTCACTTGCTTTATCCAATCTCTCTCGTATGCTCGATCTTCACTGCTCCATCGTCGTCATTTCGTTAATTTCCAGGACGGGTAAGAGATTAGCTGTATTATACGTACATGTGTCAGATATGAAGCGATATTATTAGTTTTATTTGTCATTTGATATTTTTTCACTTTTTTGGGTGGAATCATTTGGAATTCTTGAGTTTTGTGGCTGGATATTGAAATTCGGGTGTATTTTTGGTTGATTATTGAATTTTTTTATGTGGTTTGTGCGGACAGATCTGGATGGAAGATGAAATTTGGGGCTATTGTTTTGGGGTGGTTGGATTGAGGGGTTCTTGATGGAAAATAGCAAAGAGAATTCTTCGGGTGTTAAAATTCCCAAGAAGAGCAGATCTTTGGATCTTCAGAGCCTCTATAAATCTGGGGCTTCCCAGGAGAGACCGAGTAAAAAGAAAATTTCTGAAGAAAATCACTGTGAAGATGTTAACAAGAAGAAGAAGAGGAAGAGTAGAAAGGAGGTGCCATTGAGTCATTTTGATCCCCAGGCTAAAAAGAATAGGAAGGAGCGTGTCAATGAGGTGATATCTGAGTCGGAATTGAAAAGGAAATCCAATAGTGGCATCAATGGGTTGAATGGCATTTCGCTTGCTTTGGGCGAAAAAGACAACAATTTTAAGGTGCCAAGGCGGCCACGTGGTTCGGTGGGGCGGAAAAAGTTTGAAAGTATTCAGGAAGCTAAGCAGCTGGAATTGCTTAATTCTGTCGATAAGGTTGAAAAATTTAATACTGAAATTAGTAAGGACGAGGACAATGGTGGTCCAGATGATGAGACAGTTAAGGTAGTTGACATTTCCACGGCAAAGGTTGCTAGTTCAAAAGTTAAACGCAGGGTGGGCCCTGATGAAGTGAAGGAGAGCAGGACGAAAGCATCTCGACGAGCTAAGGACAAAGATTGTCTTGGTGGTGTAAATAGTGGTGGCACTTCTTCTGAAAGGCCGTGGAGGAACATGAAGAAGAGGAAACATTTGGCCACTGGTAGTGCAGGCAGTGGAACTGCATCAAAGAAGACTGAGCTTTTATTGGGTAGTTTAGTCTCATCTAATCATGCCATTGATTTTCAAAATGACAATGATGACGACGACGAAGATGAGGAGAACCTGGAACAGAATGCAGCTAGGATGCTTTCATCTCGATTTGATCCAAGCTGTACAGGGTTCTCGTCAAAGACCAAATCTGACATGTCAAGATGTGCTAATGGATTCTCTTATCTGGTTTCTTCTGCTCGAGATATGTTTAGTCGAGAGACTACCTCATCTGCTGGTTTGGAGTCTGCATCAGCTCATACTGACATCAGGAACCTTAGACCAAGAAAAGAGCACAAAGGGAAGCGCATATCAAGGAAACGCCGTCATTTCTATGAAATTGATTCTGGGTACTTGGACGCATACTGGGTTTTGAACCGTAGAATCAAAGTTTTCTGGCCATTGGACGAAACCTGGTATTATGGCCTTGTGAGTGAGTATGACTCCGTAAGTGAGCTTCATCATATAAACTATGATGATAAAGACGAGGAATGGATTAATCTTCAAAATGAAAAGTTCAAACTCTTGCTTCTCCCTAGTGAGGTTCCTTTCAATGCAAAACTTAAAAAACCATCCAAAGTTGATAAATTTGTTCATAAAGGTAAAGCAGGCGTGGTTGCAGATGATGATAGATCCGTTGGGACGTATTTGGACTCAGAGCCCATAATATCATGGTTGGCTCGTTCTTCACGCCGTGTCAAACCTTCACCTAACCCTTTGAAAAAACAGAAAACCATGCAACCGCATCTCCCTGTAGTCTCTCTACCATGGTCTGAAGAATCAGATAACAAGAACAATGATGTGGATTCTTCTGAAAGCGACAGAAGTCAACTAAATTCTGATTCTGCACTGCTAGATGTTTCAGATATTGACAAATGGGTCGCTAAATCTCGAGATGGAACCCAGAGTAGCTTCCACAATAGAAATCCTGTAGTGTATATGAGGAAGCGTTTTCGCAACAAATGCGAAGGGTTCTCTTCTGCTTCTAGACGTGGCAAAGTACGTGAAAGTTCAACAGGTAATGGTAAGGTTACTCTTTCTGCGCCTGTTATGAATAGCATGCAGACTACAGAAGGTTACAAACGATCTTCTGGTGTGGATATTACCAAGCTGTTGTGGTCAATTGATTACAATGGTGACCTCAGACTCAGTACATCATTTGTATCTTCTAGACGATTGAGATTTGAAATATGCTTACCTTTTTTGCCTTTCCTGGAATGTTTACTTGGAAAAGGAGATTTTTGGCTCTCCCATACTGTGCTACTGCTTCAACATGGTGCGATTGTGACTGTATCTCCTACTGTTATGATGGAGATTCTTTTTGTTGACAGTGTTCTTGGGGTCAGGTTTTTCTTGTTTGAAGGCTGCCTAAAACAGGCTGTATCCTTAATCTTCCTCATCCTGACAGTGTTCAATCAACCTATTGAACAGAGGAATGTTAACATGCAATTGCCAGAGACCTCAATGAGGTTCAGACTTTCTTGTATTCAAGATCTAAAAAAGCAGCACCTGTTTGCATTTTATAGTTTCTCCAAACTGAAAAGGTCGAAGTGGCTATGCCTTGATTCTAAGCTTCTGCAACATTGTGTACTTGTGACACAACTACAGGTACCAGAGTGCACATTTGACAACATCAAGTCACTTGAACATGAGAGCTTTCCGATACAAAAACCTTGTGTTGGTTTGGCACTGCCCTCATTTGAGGTATTTCTTTTTTTTATCTACACATTTATTATATTACTTTAAAAGTCTCCTTTCTATAGCCAGGATTGGACTATATAAAATAATCTGATTTACTTGCACCAACACAATAAAGTTTGGTAACCTTATATGCCTTGGTGATGGAAACTAATTCTGCAAAACTATGAATGGACCATCCAAATTTTGGAATCAGAATCCTAATTTATTGACGCAATTTTGATTCCTTTTCCAAACAAATTTACCAAAAGACGGTGGTAGCAATTCACAACATCCTCTGCTGAACAATTTCCTCTTTAAACACAATCAGCCAACTGTCTCCGCCTTCATCTGGTTTCTTAAATTTTGGTTTCGGATTCATCATTTTCTGAATTGCCTCAAAGAATCACAAAAAGACAAATCCTGTAAGTCATCAATGGAATGAGAAATCAAAAATCAGGCAACCTATAACCAAATTCCTCTTTCGTGTTTGCCCCCTGTCAACATGTCGATGCCTGCCTTTTTTATTTCTTTTTATTTATTAACTATAATATGCTGTTTGTTATTTTTTTTTTATCAGAAACATGAAATTATTGGAATTTGTAGAATGTACAAAGGACGAGATTAAGAATCCTCCACCAATCAATATAGAACAAATCACTGATTTAATGTCTTTCCAACCAAGAATATTTAAACGGAATAGAATTTATCTATGTCCTTCGAAGTGGTGCATTCGTGGAATCAATGATATTTCATTCCAGTAAGAAATATCACCTGCACATATCATGGTTTGAAAAGGCGGCCATGAGGCACTAATTTTCTAGCTTTTTTTTTTTACTCAAACGCCATGCACACTGCGCACTCCTCAAGGCCCGTGAGGCATGTGCCTCAGTTTTCCCCTGACACTTGACCTTTTTTTTTGTCTCTCTTTTTGTAAGTCTGAACATGATTTTTAATTTGATCCATCTCAAGTGAAAATACGATGTCTTGGGACATCAACTCTTTTACTTTTTTGACCTAATCATCCCCGCGCCTCACCATCCCCAAGATACCCAAAGTTTATTCAATAAGATTTCAAGGCAGCAACCTCCGTCGGTTTGTAAAAATCCGGCTGGAATTTTTAATTTCTACCCTTTTTTTCCTGCATTTCATCTCCTTTTCTTTTTAAAATTCCTTTTTTATAAAATTAATTAATGGTTGGTTTGTTTATTTTGGTGTTTTTTCTTAGTATCTTTTGACTTAATTTTTGGTTTGCAACGAGGCTTATGCCTCACCTCACGAGAAAAAAATGCCTTGGCACCTAGTTCTACCTTTTTAAATGTTGGCACATATTCTTTTGGCTCCGCACAAAAGCAATGTGTCGTTTCTAGGTGGACTGTTGTAGTTGATAAAGATCTAGATGCTCTAGATCATCCGGTAGATCTATTAATGAACCAAACCGAATGGCGATAAAAATTGTGAGGTCGACAATTTGTTGGGACAAGGCTTATTTTGTTATTATTGGTGTGGTAGTGTTGTGGACTTATTCTCTTGTGTCAAAGGTTGACTGTGTACAAGCAACTTTGGTTACTAAGTTCTGCTTCTCATTGGCAATCACTTGTGGTTTCTTTTGTTTATTAGGGTTTAAAGAAGAATGATGTGCTTGGCATTCTGTCTATGGGTGTTTCTAGAGAATCCTGCGAGATAAGGGTGAGCCAGGCTGCTTTTAATTTGGCTTCAAAGCTTGCAGAGCTTCCACCATTTGCCGTTTCATTTACTGCTGCACCTGCCTTCTTTACAACACTGCATCTCAAGGTGCTCATGGATCACAATTTTGCTTGTGACAACCTTCAGGATCATGACATATTGTGCACTCTGAGAACTTCAGAAATTTCCTGCCAACCAATTGCAGATGACTGCACTCGTATTGAGTCCTGCTTGGTGAATGTTCAGGATAAAATTGCTGAACATAATAATGTTGGAAAATTGTTGACTAGAGCTCCTGCTTCTCTATTGTTGTCTGGATCTGAACAAGAGTTGGGGAAAGATGTCTCCATAAGCAATGATCATAAATCTGACTCGATTGGGGTTCTTCACAAGGAGAAGTCAGATAGCTCTGAAACTACTGGTTGTTCCAATTTTTTTGAAAAGAATGCAACCGAGTTTATTGTTCAGTCACTTGAGTGCGAATCAAATAAGCAGATGCATGAGCAGTGTGTTTTAATTACACCCCAATCCATCACATCTCCAAGCTCCAATCTTAGGTGTGATAATGGGTTGAGTGGCATGAGTGTAGAAATTTCATCCCTTGACCAAGTTGATATTCCTTTCAGTGGGAGAGGACGTATATCACGACAGATTTCTGATGAGGGTTGGAATATGAGTGATGGTCCTGTCCACAGCCCCAATCCTACTGGTCCCAGGAGTACTTGGTATCGTGGTAGAATCAGCTCAAGTACTGCACCTTCTGACGACCTGTCACCTGTGGGGCATGATGGGAAGCGAAACTTAATGGCCAATGGATTCAGTAATGGGCCAAAGAAGCCACGTACTCAAGTTCAATACACATTGCCTTTTGGAGGTTATGATGCAAGTACGAAGCAGAAAACCCACAACCAGAGAGTTCTACCTTACAAAAGAATTAGGAGAGGTAATGAGAAGAGGGTATCTGATGGTTCTAGGAGTTCTCAAAGAAATATGGAGTTGTTAGCATGTGGTGCAAATGTTTTAGTCACCCTTGGGGACAAAGGTTGGAGAGAATGTGGAGCACAAGTTGTCTTAGAACTTTCAGATCATAATGAATGGAGATTGGGTATTAAACTTTCTGGGATTACAAAATATTCGTTTAAAGTTCAGCATATTTTGCAGCCTGGGTCAACTAACCGCTATACACATGCTATGATGTGGAAAGGGGGAAAGGACTGGGTACTGGAGTTTCCTGACAGGAGCCAATGGATGCTTTTCAAGGAGATGCATGAAGAGTGCTACAATAGGAATATTCGTGCTGCTTCTGTGAAGAACATCCCTATTCCTGGAGTCCGACCTATTGAGGAAAGTGAAAATTATGGAATTCAAGTGCCATTTGCTAGGAATCCTATAAAGTATTTCCAACAAATTCAAACTGATGTTGAAATGGCGCTGGATTCCTCTCGTATTTTATATGATATGGATAGTGATGATGAGATGTGGTTGATGAAAAACAAGAAATCTTTATGCTCCAATGACAATAGATGTGGTGAGATATCTGATGAATTGTTTGAGAAGACCATGGACATGTTGGAAAAAGTTTCATATATCCAACGCCGTAATCATTTCACATATGATGAACTTGAAGAGCTGATGGCTGGGATAGAGTCCAAAGAAACTGCAAAAGTTATTTATGAGCATTGGCGACAGAAGAGGGAGAGAATGAGCATGCCATTAATACGTCAACTCCAGGTATTCATTTAAGTTTTATGAAGTAGTTTGTGGGTTTTTTTTTCTTCGAAGCTTGTTTTCATAACTTGAATTTTAGAAAACGTGACAAGTGGGTTATGGTATGTCTACCCTGGGAAGACAATACATGTCGTAATTGCATGATCATACATGGCTAGTACATGATAATGTACAGTGGAAACTTCCGGATGCAGCTATGCGATTTATTTCGAAGAAAAGATCATGCCAAATCAATGTGTTTATATGTGCGCATTTGATTTGTTATTGTCGTTTTCACATCATTTTGATCTTGCTGATTAAGATTTCTTCATCTTGTATATTATCAGCCCCCTCTTTGGGAGAGGTATGAGCAGCAGCTGAAAGAGTGGGAGCATGCTGTGGCCAGAGGTAACACTGCCCTTTCTGCTGGTTTCCAGGAGAACTTATGCACACTTGAGAAACCACCAATGTTTGCATTTTGTCTAAAGCCACGAGGTCTAGATGTACCCAACAAGGGTTCAAAACAACGGTCGCACAGGAAATTCCCTGCTTCTGGATACAACCATACTGTATCAGGGGATCAATATGGTCTTCATGCTTCTGGTACCATACTATTATTTCGAGTGTCCAAATTTAATTTTTAAGTGCACGTTCTTTTAATATTTATTTTTCTTTATCCTTTGTTCTCTGCAACAAGGTAGTTTCTCCCTCCTTTTTTAATATTTACATTTTATGGCAGGGAGGAGATCGTCTGGGTTTGCTTTAGGAGATCAGAAGGGGTTATTTCCAGTAAATATATATGATTCTGCTGATTCTTCACCATTATTACAGGCTTCAACTCGGGTATTGTCTCCAAGAGATGCTGGTGGACTAGGAAATTTCTTATTGAACACCGATACTTCTGAGTGGAATCGTCACACCAAATTTTATAACAAACCAAAGAAGTATGGATCATATTCATCTTATAATAATCACTACACGATGGCCTCTTACAACCAGAGAACAGGGAGCATAAATGGGGTTCCACAGCGGACCACGGGTTTACCTGAGTGGTCAAGTCAGAAGCCCTATTATTTTGATCGACAACACAGGCTTGGGGTTGAGCAGTTGGGCGGTTCAGATCTTCACGAGTTCCGATTGCGTGATGCATCGGGTGCAGCGCAGCATGCGCGTAATGTGGCTAAACTCAAGAGGGAGAAGGCCCAGAGATTGCTCTACAGAGCAGATTTAGCTATCCACAAAGCTGTGGTTGCTTTAATGACAGCAGATGCAATCAAAGCTGCTTCAAACTCAAATGGCAGTGGTTAAAATGATTGGTGTGATTATGTAATTATAATAGCTTATCAAAGTTGCATGACTATTTCGAGTGGCCACTGTTTTGTCCTGAGAGGATCGACCTCCATCTGTCTATAGAAGCGAGTACTGGCTAGAGCAGTAAATGTTTGGTTTCTGCCAGTCCAGATAGAGCTTTCCCGGCTCCACCAGTTGTCGTTATTCCAGCAGTTCTGGTACCTAACTTTCTAGCCTTTTATCCGCTGTTCACGAGGAGCCAGTTTTCCCTTTTTCAGTCAGATGCAACTTCTATGGTTACTTTTGCCAGCAGGGATGTGCGGATTTTTTGCTTGCTGTCAAGCGCTGTATAGAAAATTTTATTGCCGTATTTTATTATGCTCGACCATTTAACCTTAGTCTTAGTGTTTCATATGGACCCCAAATAATAAACATCTATGAAACTGAGGTTTTTGGTAACTTTTCCTCATATTGTTGATGATTAGATTACTGGGTAGATTAGATCACGTTACTTTGATAATGATTATATGACATCTGTTTCAAGACAGACACGCCCTGATCTCTTTGTACAAGCTTCTTGTGGTTTTTAAGAATTGTCCAAAGATTAGCGGGTATTATTGTGAAATTAGTAATGATGAGTTCTAATTATTGAATTGTGATGCGTTTTTGGTTCAAATTTACGTACTTTTATTAGTGGGAGTGGAGACCTTACACATCAGAATGAATTTCCAGTGCTAAAGCATTCTTATGTGAGGCTGCTGAGCGACATGGTGACCTGGCCGTGCTGTTTTCTTTCATACCAAGACTTGCAAAGATTTTCAATTACAGTCAATGTTTCGTTAAAAAGTTCTACTTTTAAGTTAATATTGTGAATAATTTTTTAAGAATAACGCTATTCATATTAGAATTATAGGAAATTAAGAGTAATTTTATTCATAGTTGTATTTATTTGAGGGCTCGTTATTTGAGATAATAGAATTACAGAAAATTAATGTCTTAAATAAAAAGCTGTTATGTAGGATGACTTGCGCAGTTGTTGGTTATGAATATTATTATCATTTTTTAAATTAGTGAAAAAAGGGAATAATTGATCTTTTTTACAGTAAAATAAGAGTTGCTTTTATTTATTGAAACACGCTACATGTACAGAAGGGAAATCAACAGAAATGTGCCAGAATACTCATATCATGTGGGGCCAGCGCATTTTTTTAATACACAGTGGGGCCCACCCCTTTGTGAGTTTTCTAGTGCATTTCCGTGGCTTGATTTCTATACAAATGACTAAAACCTTATTTAGAGTGTGTTTGAGCCACATTATTTTGGAAGAACGTGTTTTGAAATAGTAGATTGATGGAAAATGTGTGATTGAAAAAAAAGGAAAAATTATTGATGTGATGGAAAATATTATTTTATTGAAAAATGTGTGGTTGAAAATAAGTAGAAGAATAAGAATGAAAATTTTAATGTGGTTCAAACATGAGCTTATTTTTATATTGAATTTTCCTTCACAATTCATGTCAGCTGCATGGTTCCCATGAATTATTTTCGGAATTGCTGTTGTACTTCTACATCGTTTTCTCTAAAGACAATAAAGCCAATTCGTAATCACTAGAAATCCATTACTTCATGGAAGCCATCACCGAACAAAAAACAAAAAACTTCGAACAAATCAAACCCAATGAGGGCTTTCTACGGCTAAGAATAAAAGGCGGTGTCTTTTTTACAATTTTAAACATAAATGTCTTGTATATACACCTTATTTCTCAATGGGATCAAACTCCATACACGGTTTCTTGATTCCCCCACTCAGAGGCGGACGCAGACTTATAAAACGGGGGGCACTAAGCACTTTTCAAACAAATCACTTTTTAAAAAAATTTCTCCCACACAAGCACTAAGTAAAGAAGATACCATCCTTAAACCAAAATAATAGTTAACTCATTAATCACGTCTTGAGACATCACAGCCAGGAACTACTTACTGGAATCTGATCGAGTCGCTGGATATCGTTCTCATTGCTCAGAGGCCGAACTAGCGGGAAGCACTCTCTATCTGGGAAAAGAGCTCGAATGGATTCTCGAATCTAGTCAATATTTTATCAGAAGTTAAGAAATCACAAAAACCATTGACCTTCCATATGTTGAAGAAATGAAAGATGCAGCATCGGGCTATTGACAGGCTATATAAAATTATCCAAAAGTATCATGTACCATTTGAAAGGAGTAATTGATTATCACACAATATCTATGCAGATCAAATCGAAAATGGAATAAGCAAAACCTCATTCTTGGAAGCTACATCCTTTCTGCCACCTTGAATTGGCCTCAGAGCAAGCTCAAGGTAGTCACGCGGGGTGATCTTGCGATTATCTTCAACCAAGTCCAAATAAAAATCCTGCGGGTACGTATTCAAATATTAGGATATGCTCATAAATGAAGACCAACTGCTAGTTGATTGAGATCCTAATAGTAATAGACAAGAAAAAAGAACAATATCCAGTTAGGAAGGGGAAAGAAATAGAGGAAGATGTCATTTTCTTATTACCCTTAGAAGCCACAAAAATGGGAGAGAATTGCCCAAGTTCCTTGTCTCGAACATCAACATTATTTTTATCACTCTTGTCTCGAACATTCATTTCATCGGCATTTCGCTCATCACAAGAAATCATAGATTTACGTTTAAAGTATTTGTCCATAACTGAAACAAATAAAAAATCAATCACATGAGAAGTCCCTAAATCAGTTCTTCATCTCATAAGTCATACCAAGTTATCAACCAAATTTCAAACATGTTAATTAGCAAGCTACAATCTTCCTAAATCCTAATTCAAAGACACAGGCTGGTGTCTAATTCTATGAAACAGGCTGATGTTTATCATGTCACCAAAATCCCTAAATCAAATCTCATCAAAATCCCTAAATCCCTAAAAACTCTAACTATCACTGATTAAATCAAATCTCATCAAAACTCAAATTTGATCGTTTGCTGTAATCAATTTGATAATCAATCCCTGAGTGCAGTTCAAAACATTAGATTAACACTTAACAATCAATATTATAACCCCTATTAATTTCATTTTGAGAGGAAAAACTGTGGAAAGTGGAAAAATCGAAAAATTTCAATTACAAAATTAACAGTCAGTACAATAAGTTACCTCAGTCCTCGGAGCTTGGAAGCTGTACTTGGAGTTTGAGACTGGAGTTGGGCTGCTTGGGCAGAGCTTGAAACTGTGTGGTGATGTGGAGAGATCGAGAGAGGAAGGGCAGTGCTCGAAACTGTGTGTGGTGTTGTTGTGGTGATGTGTGACCGTGTGAGAGAGGGACGACGGCAGGCGGGGCGGATTCTGCAAGAGACGGGGAGTGTGGACACGAGAGATTGGAGTGGAGAAGAGGGGAGATGGGGAGATTGGAGAATTTAGGGATTGAAGTTTTGATAGTTGATACAATATTTTTTTTCCTTTATATATTAAAAAAAGTTTTCAAAATTTGGGGGGGCACGTGACCCCCCAGGTCCGTCCATGTTGACGCAGGTGCAAGGTTTTCCTGGAAACTTTCTGCTTCATATTTGTGTGGCTGCAAGGCTTGTTTCGCAGCCGCACCAAGTGTACTGCAATTATTTTAGACATTTTGAAGTATAATTTTGCGTCTTTTTTTGCTGGAATAATCCTACTATCTTTGTAGAGGTAATCCAATATTTACTGTTCATTTATGAAACTTTTTTTATTCCCATCTTACCCATATCCATCCTCCACTATTCATTCACGAAGCTTTTCCACAAAATGGTAATATGGACTTTCTCGTACCCACAATTGTTGACTCTTCTTATGCCTCTGAAAATGAAGGAGAAAGAAAAAAGGAAGCAATCATTTACTATTGGTAATCAATTCTAAGCTTAATTGTGTTATTATTTCTTCGAACACAAACTAAACCAATACAGAAAAATATAACTACTACTGTCTCGAACAGATCAAATTACTCCCATAGCTGTCCTGTTTTTCAGAATAAAAAATATTAGAAGGTATAAACACGAACCTGAGAAATAGAGATATCAGTGAATGACGCAATAGAGTAGCGGAGAGCATCTCTCAATCTACTTGTCCATTTACTTTTACTTATCTTATATTCCGAGAAAAAAACCACTATTTCCCCTCTCTTCCCCTTTCTCTTTCCCTTTTTCTTTCCAGTGAAGAGCATCTCCCTATTCCTGGACACAATATGAGAATCTGAATAAACTCTAAGGCAGGCACGTAAATTGCTATCTTTTAAAGATGCTTCTCCCATATCCAAAGATATCACAATAGGGTTTACTTGAAAATCTGTTTCACGATACATTGGAGGAGTTTGATTTAAACAAGGACGGTTTGATAAAATCAAGATAAAAATATATGAGAGAACTGATTATGCCAAGGGAATAAATGGGTGTGTTTGTTCGAGAAAAATAGTAACTTCCAACAGACACAACTCTTCAACACATACACGGAAATCAGAATTCCCTTTCAGAGCGGCAAACCATTTGCAAATATTTTTCTTCAAGATTTGATGGTACGTTGGAGTTGGGATGGAGGTGCAACCGACGAATCAAAGACTCAAAGGTGGTGGAGAAGGGGTTGGAAGGAGTCAATATGGTGGTTAACCCCGAGAAGCCGATAGGCTACTTCCAAATTATTTGCACAAAATCATCATGATGTTCTTCTGTACTTTGTTACATTTTCATCAGATTTATTATTAAATGGGATTTCTTTTCATATTTTCATTTCGAAGTTTTCTTCATGTTTCCAAAAGTATAAGAGAATTAGTACTAAAATAGACGACCGACGACCTCAGATATGTCAAATTTCATAGTGGTTTCATTTTTTGCTTATCTGTTTCTTCAGTTTAGGTTTGTTTCTTTTTTAGAAAGGTCTTCTCTCTCATTAATTCTTCACACCAAACACGCTAACATTACCTTCAAAACAACACAACCCGTGCATCACACGATATACCACCACAATCCTTCATTACAAGTCAAAAGATTCAAAA